TACTGTTGAAGCACACACTGAGGAACCCACGTTTCATTTGCACTCAGGAAACGAACACCCTTCCTTCCCCAGCAGGACCCTTTCTGACCTGTTCCCACCAGTCTCAGACCTTTCTCTGCCTCCCACATCTCCTGGTTTCTTACCATAGATCAGGGGAAAGGGATCATTTGGGAGGTCTACTCCAGCCTGCTGAAAGCAGGATCAACACTGAATTCAGACCATGTTGCTCAGGGCTTTATCCATTAAGGTGCTGGAAATCTGTAGGAATGGATTTTTCACAGCCTCTGGGCAACCTGCTTCAGTCCCCATGGTTTGACTCCACTCAATTCCTGCTCAGATTTTGGCCAACACACAGCTCATGCTAAGGCCTGACCTATGCTGGGATAAGCACCATTAGGTCAAAGCAATAGCAACACGTAGGCAGGACACAGTGGCCAGAAAGAGCTAAAAGGCCATGATGCAGCCATTACCGCCTGCCGCTGGCTGTCTCCTGCAGCCATCATCCCTGCAGATTGCTTGTCTGACAGTTTCTTCACAATCTGCTAACTCACGGAAATGGCATAGACCCAACTTCCAAGCTGGAAGGCGTAAATACATCAGCTTACCCAAAAAGTTCTTGAAGCAGATCCCACAACAGCCAGACTGCTGAGGCTTTCGTGCTTCTCAGTGGGATACAGGGGACACCCTCACGGTGGTGGAGGAGGAAGGATGAGTGCTCTCCCCATCAGGTAGGTAACTGCTTTGCTCATCGGTGCACAAGTTACAAGTTCCGAGTTGCCAATTATGAATTAGAGAGCTTGTGAGTTAGAAACCTCATGACTTAAGTGATGAATTAGTGAATTCACATGTTTGCCTAGTCTGTACAAAGGGGATTGAACCCTTGTTTGTCATGCTTGTTTTCTTTCCTAATGAGCTCATAAAATGAAGTTTAATTTACAGAGTACATTGACCAGTAAATTTGAGAAATCCAAATAGACCATGACACCATGGTAATAATTTTTTTCCTTATGTCAAATATGAACTTCCCAGTTTGATTTGTGCTCATTGTCTCTTCTTACTCCACCATGGGCCTCTCAAAGGGTGTGATTCTGTTTTCTTGACATGGCATTAGAAGGCTGCTGTTAGGACCCCCCAAGCTTCTTCTCCAGGCTGAATAAACCCATTTCCCTCAGCCCCTCCTCATAGGGCAAGTGTGTGCACCCCAACCACCCCCCTGCATTACAAATGGACTCCCTCAAGTTTCTCACTGTCCTTGTATTTGTGGTGTAGTGTGTCCAAACCTGGATGCAGTATTCCAAATACACCCTGAAAGGTGCCAAGAAAAGGGGAATAACCCCTTCCCTTAATCTACCGGTGGCACACCTGTTAATACAGAGCAGTATGCTGTTAGCCTTCGTCTCTGACAGGGCTCACTGCAGACTTTTAGCTTGCTTTCCCCAGGAACCCTTGGCCCTTTTCCACAAAGCTGCTGTCTTTGCCTAACCTCACTTAGTTCCCAGGCTTTTCACAGCCAGTCCATTCCATGCCCTTGCATTTCTCCCCACCTCACAAGCAACCAAATCCCAGTTAGGGTCTCTCCAATTTCTGCAGTCCAGCTGCAAATCGGGTTTGTTTTCCCTGTCACCCCTAAACTCTATGTAACCTGCAAACTCCATGAGATCTTCTCTACATCACAGACTTAGCTTCCCTCTTCCCTGCGTTTGCATCAATTTCCTTCTCACTGCTGCTTGGACTGACCCTGAAAAACAACCTTAGATCTTACTGATGGTGGTAATCCATGGACTCAGCCAAGAGACAAAACTGCTGGGAACATTTTCCTCTCCCGTTTGAAAGTTCTGTAGGAACAGAATATGCTTAACTTGAGAAAGCATAAAATATTCTTCAAAAGCATACATCCAGCACGAGTGCACAAGAAGGAAAGAAAGAAAGAAAATCGTGATTAAAAGAAAGCAAAAACCCACATTACACGCATTTCTTCTTTCAAAGCATAGAGTCTCTAGACCCTTCTAAAGAAAAAGTAGCCAAATCATTAAAATAAAATCCAAACAATTCATTGTCCCTACCATCATCTTTAGAAGAGTAGAACTTTGGGTGCTGAAGTTATCCAAGACAATTCAACCTAAGACATAAACCAGAGATACAGAAAATCTCAACTCCAGCAGTATAAGCTTGCCAAAACTACGGGACAACTGAATTTGAGGTCTTACAATGGCAAACGTTGAGCAATTTGAGAAATAGTCAGAGATGGGAGAGCCATGCAATGAGCATACTGCGTATGTCGGTAGGGTGTGTGACTGCGTATTATATAACAGACATATTTTCATTTTTAAGACACAAATTACGTGCTTCAAAGCAGCTATATATCTGCCAACTGCACATTATTAAAAAGGAAAGAATGATACAAGCTCACACTTTCTGTGAAAATGTACTGGAAAGAAAATGTTCAAGTCCCTTATGTTTGCCATGATGCTGCTTAACACCACATAAAAAAGAACAAGAGTATTCGCACAGTTTGTTGCATTTGCAAAAACCTATCTTAAATGCTAGATGTCCTTGATAAGAATGTAAAATATAGTATGAACCAATTAGATACTACTTATTACCTGTAACACTTATTTAAATAACATCTATCAAATGCAGAAAGTTTCAGTAACTCCCACTAACTGAAGCATAAGCATGACTGAGGTCTAGATGCACTTTGCTACCTCATGTATCACCAGTTTGTTAGCAGAATCATCAGGAATGAGGTATCCTCCTCTTCTTCCTGCTTTGGTCAGAAAATGCTGACCTGTTAAAACTCAACTTTGTGCAGAAGCAGATTAATTTTGCAAAGACAAGTTTTCTCATGAAGCCAGCAGAAAACGAATCTAACAACAAAATCAGTAGAAGTATCTGAACAGTCTGTTGACTTACACTTTTTGCACACATGTGGGAGTTATCATGGTTCACATTTTTTTGTGAAGAAACCTGAGGTTTGGTTTCATCCTACTAAAGGAAGGGAACACTTTAGAAATCTTTTTATTCAGAAGAGAGAAGTTTTCCTCCAAGCCACACCACACCCCAAACACTTTCCAAAATTCTGTGCTGTCCACATTTGCCAGCAGCAGAAGGAAGGAATATGGTGAGGAAAAGGGGCAACGATGACAACTGATTTAGCTTCACAGAATTTTTGCTATGTGCTGTATGTTTAAAATATTACACTGTGTCTGTTTATATCAAAGCGACACTAAGGTGCCAAGCACCTTCAGAACTGGCTTAAGCTAAGCACACACAAGCCCACTGAAAGCACCGGGGAACCTTGCATACCAAAAGTTAGATTTGCAGGTTTAGCCACCAAGTCTCTGGGAAAGCAACAGCAACAACATTTTTTTCTGTCATCAGACAATGCTAAAATCAACAAGCTTCTGATTAGAGACTCAGAGCATGTCTTTAAGATATGTCAGTAATAACAGACAACTCACTGCATGCTAATAATTGTTTTATCTACGTGCAGCTTCACACAACCTTTGGCTAAACTGAGGGTTCCTGTAGAGGATTTCAAATGTCTTTTTGGCAAACTTAGCACATCAAAATTTAATAATAATAATAATAATAAACAGCAGCAGCTGCTTCGGCTCCAGGACACATAAATAAATAAATTTGTATAAGGAGGACTTCCAGACATTTCGTAACTGTAGTTAAGCCTCATAAAAATCCCGGTGTGGTAATCCAATACACCTATGCTTATTGCTGAAATATCTTCTTGAAGCACAGAGAAGTTGGATTAATTGTTTCATTAGTTTACCATAGTCTGTAATTCCTAGCTCCAAATCTCTTTTATTTATTGTCTATCACCATGAGAACTCAATCAAATCAGCACAATTTATAAAAACAGACGAGGAGACTGCAATATACAAAGCATCTTTTCTTTACTAAATGAGCTTATATGACACAATTCTCAACCCCTAAAAAATATTTTCAAATGAAGTACAATTCATTACTGTCGGTTTTATTATTTTATCTATTCCAGTAGCACTTCAATACCTCTTTAAAGATCAGTGGATAAGTATTCAATGTTTGTATTACGATAGCTCCTAGAAGCCTTGACCACACTATTACCACGCTATTACCTTGACCACACAGTACACACAGATTCTTGGGGTTAAAAATACATAAATCTTATCTACTGAACAAAGCAGACAAACAAAAGAAAAGAAAAAAAGACATCTGTTTAGCCTTTCTACAGGTCTGATTTTTTTGTAAAACAATGTTGAGCAATATATTGAAAACTGCAGGAAAAGCCTATAGTTAACTTAGGGACTGAGCCTAGATATCTGGGATACAAATGTACTTTCTTAGTTGTATGGCTGGTTCCAGGTTTATTGGATTTTTCTTTTTACTGTATTGCATAGAATGGATCATAGCAAAAAGCAGGAGAAATACAAAAAATATGTATGCAGTAATATTTCCATTCCATAAACTATTCAAAAGAAGATAAAATTCTATGCCCAAATGTCAAAGGCTTATGGATGTGTGTACATACTTTCATATATATACATATATACTGTGTATATGTATATACACACAACATCTATATATGACTGCCAGAAATCCAATTCCACTTACTGTATTGTGTCTAACCTCACTGTTTCTTTCTATTCCTGCCTTGCTTACATAGAAGTATACACATATTCCTTGATGAGTAGCAATGCTTTGAAGATCAAGCTGTTGAAGCATCTTACATGTTCTTTTCCCAGTAAAATTCATTCTAATTAGTAAATACTAATAGATTTTAGTAACTTATACACCTTTTGTTTACAGGGAAGCAGCAAGCCAGTGGCTACTATTCTGTATATTTCTGAGGAGTTTGTTTTCATTATCCCATACATTTAGATTTTTTCCTCCCCCAAAATCTTGGTGTCAAAGAAAAAACAAAAAAACTGCAAAACCCACCTGACACCTCAATTTTGTGATGAAGAATCTACTGTTTGATGTTTCTTCCCCATACTTCCTACTTCAAATATTTTATTGATGAAACAAAGCAAATCTAAGATGTACTTGTATTTTAGTTTTTCTTTTCCATTATGGATAATAATTTGATAGTCAATGGTCTTGTTTATGCTATACTTTATGGTCAACTCCTTTGATTTGCCTTACGGACAAGAAATTGTTTTAAAGCCAAAAGCCATTGCTTTACAGTTGTTATTTAGAGTCTCCCACTGTCTAAAATAAATTGGCTTTCTGGTAGTCACATGATGGTTATATCTCACAAGTTTGTCTGGTGTGTTTCCTGTTTTGGGTTTGCTTATTAAACCGAAGAAAAGTTCCCAGAAGCTAGTGGTGGACGGGGAGAGACTGAATTGGCATCTTTATTACAATTGAATATTTTTTTCTGACAAACGCATGGGAAAAGAAGAAAACTGCATTAAGCATAACAACAGAAATGAAGGGCTTCAGAGGAGTCTAACTGCACCAAAAAAAGTACCATCTCCATCCAAGGATATTTTGGCCCTTCTCCGTGGTATTGTAAGTTGAAGTTCATCCCCTTCTTCTAATTTTGCAATGCCTGGCAAAAGATTTGGGATATTTTAAAGTTAATATTTCAAATACATTCTTTTCATAAACAGTATTCAAAAAGTCACTAAACGTCATCTTACAAACAAAAGCATGGCTTGTTACTTGTGACGAGTGCTTTTTTTATCTTTAGGCACATTCTTACAAACTGCAGCCTACCCAAAGCTGACACTTAACGTCCTCTGTGGAGCTGGACCTACTTTCCACTCTGCACTCAGCATATCACAGTCCACTTAAGCAAACACTGCAAAAACGCGTAACGGTGGTGTACTCAGATTCCTTGCGTTACGGTGATGTGACAGTCAAGGTCAGCATTGGGTACTGCCGGTCCTAGACCACTCTGTTCCCACACTTCTGGAAGAGGTCTGACGAGTTTTACCAACCAAATGAAGTTACCAGACAGCAGCTGACCCACTGCAGAGCACAGAAGTCTGCTTCCTGCCAGCCGTCCACCAGCTGATGCGATAACCGAAAGCACCTCGCCCTCAAGTCGCAGCCACTGAGCTGAGAGCGCATCTGACATCTGCTGCGACATGTGCTCAACAGCATGAGATACTGCAGTGAGATTTGGTTTCCCAGGTGAAAGCAGAAGGGCGGGAATTTGGGAAGCAGGAACCCTGAAGTGGCAGGATGGAGCCGAGATCCTCGTTAAGAGGGGGAGTAACACAAGGGTGAAATTAGAGGACAGATGAAATTGAAGGTGGTTATGATGCCAGAATGTGTGGGTGGAGGGGCAGAAAGTTAAAGAAAATGTTTGGTAGCCTCAATTGCCAGAAGGAAGTAGCTAATTTATTTTTATTTGGAAAAAAAAAAAAATTAGCTTCCTTCCCCATCCCATTTGTTTAATGCCATTACTTGCCAACAGGCAACTCTGTCATTCAATGTCACCCATTTTTTTTATAAGGCATTGAAAAAAAAAGGTAGTTTTTATTCACACAGATCTTGCTGGAAAACAACAAAAGAGACAACCCTCAAACCCACAATTAAGGGGAAAAGACAGACAGGTAAGAGCTACCAAACAAGGTTTAATGGGCCTTGACAATAATTCCTTAAATGCTACTGCAGGAATATACATATATAGAGAGAGAGCATTGAGCCTGCTGGACTTGCATTAAATATTTTAATTGGTCTTTCTTGTAGTGTTTCTAATTTGTGCAGTCAGAAAGAGCTCTTTATAGGAATTAACTACTTCTCATCTAACCAAAGAGTAAAAACTGCAGTAGCCATTACAAGGAGTAGAGAATTAAGCTGATAAGAAATATCTTTGGAAATCCTACAGTACGGTAGGCTAAATTGGGTGGCTAAAATTCATATATGATGTTTTAAAGCAGAACATAGCTCCTAAATATTTTACTGGGATAAGGGTTGAATTCCACATTTAGTTAAGTTAAACCAAGTTCTTCAATAAGGACAATATATACTCCTTTTGTCTGCATCTAACTGAAAGCACCAAAGTATCTAACCATATTGTATAGTCAATGGAGAGAGGGGAATTGTTGAGATCACCAAAGTTAGATGCATACTCTCCAACTGCCTCCATTTATATAAAACTGTATTTTTTTAAAGTATTCTGTAATTTTGCAATTAACCAGATCCATGAATGCAGTCCATTTTCTTTACAACTGCCACAATACTTAATCATCCAACACTACAGATTCTGTTTGATACAGTTTATTTGCAAAGAAAAGGAAAACTTAGATATTTACCAGCAGTATAGCAAGAATTATTCGGATAAGACTGTGGCATGTTTTGGATGCAGCGAAACAATGTCACCAAGCTGAGATCATCACCAAACACATGGGCCTTCTTCCTCTGTATTAGATGTCCCATAGCAAATGTTGTATCAGTATATAAAACCTACAGAATGAAGAGGTGCAGACTTAAAATATATTGTATGGAGACATTAAAAATCCTTTAAACAGTCAGATGCTAAAATGAATTGAGCTTTCTCACCTGGCCATATATGAAAAAATATCCTGTTTCTTTGATCACTATTTTATTTCCTTGTTCTTCCAGAGCTGTTCCACGTTTAAAGCTCAGAAGCCAAGGGACAATGCTTGAATCATCTAAAAGAAACAATAAGTTTTGGGTAATCAGAAAGAAAAGTTACTTTTTTCATCTCCATCTGTCAAAAATTAACAAAGCTGACTTCTAGTCAAGACTTCCAGTCTCCCTAGCTGGATTTCCCCACTGAAAAGAAGATATTTGCAAGGGCTGTCCAGATGCAGGGACCTCTTGTTTTGTTTTTTTTTTTTAATTCAGTGACATAACTCAGTTACTGCTTTGAAGTTAGATAAAATTGGATGGAAGAGTTAATACATGGAATAGTTAGCTATAAATCATGGAACATACTCTTACCTTTCTGTTGGATGTCACTTTTGCTGTCAGCAATCAGTTGCAAACAAGCCTGCAGCACTGCAAAGTGAAAGCATTTTGAAATCAAAGAAACTACTTTAAAAAAAAAAAAAAAGGACATGAAAAAAAATCTTCTCTCGGTCTCACCACTTATTTGAAAACATAATCTATTGATTTTAATGCAGATCTTACTCAAATGTGCCAAAATAAAATTCATACCACAACACGTACTAGATAACTTTCAGAGATCATGCAGCTAAACAGGAGGCCTCAGATAGTAGCACAAGTAATACTTGCTTGTTTTAATCTCTGGTCCTAATATAATTGAAAAATGTAGCAGTAAGTCAAATGAGCTAGGAATCATCACATCAATTAGCCTGATTTTCTAAGCAAAAGCTCAAAAAAGCCCCCAACCCTCTGACAGAGATGAGATTTTCTAATGATGTTTACTATATTATTTAGAGAAATTAGTTTCCAGTCACAGTTGCTATAAAATATTAGTCATATATACTGGTTACACGGTACTTTCAAGCTACACTTTCAAAATCCATATACATGTACTTTCAATATGTTTTCAGATACCCACACTCAGTCAACCTATACTGAGACTAAGAGGCAAGATACAGAGATGACTGTTAGCAAATTAATGCACACATAACAAATAGCTTCGTATCTGTCAAAACTGATGCGTTACTCAAAACTGTAGAGACTGGCAACACTGAGAAAACAGGAGTTTGATCAGAGAAAAATATTGCAGTATGTTAAAATACAGGCTTGCAAGTGAAACAAAAATCTTTTAAAAAAAATCTGCTAAGCATAAATGTCAGGGAACAGGATAAAAGAGAAAAAGGATAGTTGCATTTGCGTAGAGCAGATTTTAATGAAAACATCTGGTTCTAGTGCTACACTGAAGGTTGGAAAACTGAGTAGTAACATTTACCGCACTTGACAGAAACCAAATGAATTTACTAAGAGTCAAGAGAAGAAAATTCTGCTGTGGACTGCTAAATCTCCGTTTTTGTTTACCTCTTTTCAGGTAAGAAAGCTGTGGGTCAGATTTGGCCACTCTTCCTATGACAGGCAGTGCCCTGCTCCATGGGGTCCTGTTTCTACATCGGCCAGTGGTACCCACATGTGCAACCCAGCGCCCAGCAGCACAAACTTCTCGCTGCACGGCAAAAGGGTTTGAGGAGAAAGCGGCCTCTCTCTGTATCCAAGTCTCCTTTCCAAGGGGACCTGCCTGAAAACACCAGAGGAGGGCTGGGTGCTCACCAGCACTCAGCGGTGCCAACCGGCAGCGGACAACGGTTCACGCGCACGCCTGGGAGCGCGTCAGCGTCGCAGCAATCGCGCAGCCCGCGAGACCTGCGGACGTTAACGGGAATGCTGTCCTGCGAGCTCCCATCTCCTACACTGGAACGTATCCTCGAGTGCTGTCAATACTCATCAGTAATGTGCCAAAATCTACTGATTTTCAAACCAAGAATTTAAAGACATCTGAATTCCCTGCCTTCTGATAAGGAATAGAAAAACCAAGCCAACACAAAATGAAAAAAGGTATTATACAGCAGTCATTTTTCTACCACACTTGCAAGTGACAGAATTTTCTGAAAAAGAAGCTTCCAAATACAATTGAAATGGGATTTTCTGGAGTCGCACAACAAAGCACATCGGGCAATTTATTTCGCAAGGTATTAATTCACTCTCCTTTGGAGCAAAGTGCATTCCTACCGAATGGAATTTGCTGATTCCCTAGTATTTCAGTAAGCTAAATCAAAATTTTCACTCCTGCTTTTAAAAAGAACTCATTAGTATGGCCACTGGATTTTTCAACTAACCAAGAGAGGATTTGTTATGATTTACGCTAACCAGCTGCTATGCAGCTGGGTACCAATGAGTAGCACCTACAAGCAGTGAAAGCTATGCCTACTTGAGCAACCTTGTTAAACCTGCTCTGCAAACTTGATGACATTCTTGAAACTATCCTGATTCACAGTTTGCAAGTCTGGATTTATGTTTCAGTTGTCTGCAGCATTGAAATACTAATCGTTATTGCTGAGAACTGCTACACAGGAATTGAAATTGGCAAGTTCCATACAGTCTGAGATCTTTTCCATCTTTCTAAAACACATACCAACTCTGCTTTATGCTACAGATATCAAAGCTACATATACTCTCTAAAGAAGTCTCACTGTCTCTTTTTTTTCGTGTATGCAGGTAGAAATAAGGCTCCACAGAATACAGTAAGTTTGTTTTTCATGGAGAAATATGGATACAACAGTGTCATTCATAACAATAAAGAGAACAGAAACTAGCACAGTGGCTGTTTTACCTAAAGCTGCAAAGGACAAATAATATCTAAAAAACTGTTTGAGGGATTGAATAACAACATGCTTCAAACAAATGTTCAGAAGCCAAGACTGACACACAACTATTTCCAGTATATACAGGTACTTCACTTTGATGTCAATGGAAATACATAGGTTTAAAATTAAGTAATTCATTGAAACAAATTCAGAGTAAACAACACTACTATTAAGGAGAAGATATGGATGTAGAGAGTATATTTTCTGGGAAGATTAACAGGGATTTTCAGTAAAAAGTTAAACATTGTTAAGCAATGTTAGCAATTCTATTCCAAGAAGGACCCAAATCTTACCTGAAGTACAATGTCAAGAATATATGCATTACAAAATATGGGTTGAATAGTTACTAACAGTACTGAGCAGAATAAATCAAAAGCTCTACCTGAATGCCCTTCAGCCCAGTGTAAATCAAACCTGAGCATCAGCTTTTTAGTCTAGAGGATTTCTGAATAATTAATAATGCAAGCAGAATACAGGATTTGTAAAACACCTCTTAAAAATGTGTAAAAATATCTAGACTTGAGTGTCACCATGAGGTCTAGCTGTACAAAACAGAGTGTATCTAGACCAATAAAGTGTTCTCCGTCCCCTTGTGACTTCATATAACAGCTTTGCTTTGACAAGCTTTTTTTTTTTTTCTGATTTTAACCGCTCTGCGGGATGTGGGTGGGGAGAACAACAATTCAGAGTCTGCCTTCTTCCATGAACAAAACAGCCAATTCTGAAGAAGTTAGTGACTCCAGATGCCTTTATAAACCACAGCCAGCACATGAAGGGTTGTGTTCTCCACTGGTTGAGCAATGTAACCACAATTTTTTTTAAAAAAGCTAGCTTTTGCAGCAGGATAGGAATGCAGCTTTCGCATATCTGCATGATTTAAGACCTGATATTGGTAGAATCAAATTTGCCCTCCCATGCAAGTTTTTGTATTATTTAACTTGCATAATCATTTTAATATTTTGCAATCTAACTTCATAATCCATCCAAACAAAATTTCAAGTTCATTATCTGTGAACTCATGCATAAATTTTAAAGTTGTGATATCTGAGGCCTGAAACATCTATCTCAATTTTTGCTGAAATAGAACCAAGCAAAAACCCTGAACTTTAAAAAACAGACCTGCTTGTTTAGGTTCCTTTTTTGGTCTAGATCTGTTCTCTGTAGACTTCCCAAAACATACTTAAACACTAGATAATTAAATTTATAAATGATATGCATGTTCTTGAACAATTTGTAGTTCTTCCCTTAACTTCTTTGTTTCTCATCACAAGAGATCTTCTTTTATGTTTTGCTCGTGCATTTTTATAGACTGGTTAAATTTGCTGCTTTTTAATTAAGAAGTCTTTATATGGCATTAATCATGGATTAAATCAGTCCCTGCATTAAAATTGCTTGGTCATAGTTACAGATATGACTCAGATCTAACAAATATCTTGGACATATTGATAGAATTATTTTGACCTTAACAGAATTACCAGTAACATGTTACAATCAGAATAACAAGGAAATCATTTACTAAGAATTAAGAAGACTTTATGTAGACTTCTATTACACAGTATAAAGCAGAATATTGTTTTCAAAAATTAGAGCCTATTTTGTGTATTTTTGATTGCACAGTGTTCTGCATAATACACAGCACTGAGTCATTCATTCATTAAGTGCAATTCTTCATGTAAAATTGCAGCATTGTATCAAGTCATTTTCTATCCTTTCACATAGAAGGGCCTACTTCCTTTTGAGTTAGACTGTTGTCAGCAGAAACAAAAAAGATTAACATATCTTTTCAAGAAGTAGGCCTCTTTTTTTTTTTTAATTAAGAGAACTCTTATATTTCCCCTCTTCAAACAATAAAATAAGTATTTTGAATATTTGGTGAGGGAATTTTATACGCGGCATTTGTTTAGACTAGTAACAAAAGGTTAGGTTTCTTGATTCAAAGATCACTAAAGTCAAGTTCCACTTGTGAAAGTTCTTGCTATCCCTCTGTCGCGGAGATCTAAAACAACAACATACAGAGTCAAAACACTTCTAACCAACAAATGTGCCAATTTGCCAAAGCAAATGTATCAATTTGCCAGTAAGGTAATTATACCAAGAACAATGGCAAAATTCTCACAACTTATACACCACGCTTGCATGGCAATAGTTATTTCCCATGGACACAACTGATATTGGAGTAGAATCTGGGAAATGCTAGTAAAAAAAAAAAAAAAAATTGCCAATTCACACGCCAGGTTAGCCTGCCTCATTGCTTTCTGGAATTACTTAGAATTGCTCCTCAGTTCCTTCCATACATGCAATCAGTCTGGTTGAGATGGATAACCTCAGTACACCAAAGTAAATATAGTCCATGGGTGCTCCAACCTCATCACAGCAGAATGTTGCCTGAATTTGAGTTTACAGAACACCCGATGCTCACCTCCCTAGTTGGCCGCGGGAAACAGAATCCCACAATAATGATCAGAACGAGGCACAGAGAGAGCATGTAAATGAAACTTGACATTTGTACATTGAACTGGCTTAGGTAATGGAACCTATATCTTGTTCCCAGACTCAAGTCCATATACAACTTAGAAAGAAACACGCAGGCAAGGCAATCAGTAATTGTCAACAGGGTGTAAAATTAAGGAGAGGTTTTTGTTGTGCAGTGATTTTCCTCTACAGGCAAAATTCATAAAAATAAAGACAAATAAGAAAAATTATATCTGTTCTTATGTGTCCTGATATGACATTTGTTAGAAGTGGTTAGATGATGTATCTGCCTGAATATTAATAATATGTACCTTTCAAAATCACCCATTAACTCCTACTCATTGTATCGAGAACTCTGGTTCTGACTGCTAGCTGTTTGGAATTGATGCCTGAAACCCATCTCTTCAACCTACTTGAGCTGGAAATTTTCTCAAGACACAGAAGGTACAACTACTGATGACTAATAGTTTTATGCATGAACACAGACAAATGCATACCCCATAAAAATATGAAAGAACCACCTTGTGTTATAGCCATTTTCATTCAATTGTCATTTTAATTAAAATTCTAATTTGTGGCCACTTTTATGCACACAACATCAAGCAAATAGAAAAAAAATATTAAAGTGGAAATTCCATATGTTCAAGAAAGGCTGTGCTGGGCCTAAAAAGAATCAGGGGGCATCCATTTTTGGAAGTTAATAATGAAAGTTTAAAAAGAAAACAGAATCAAGCCACAACTTTATAAATAAACAAAATAATGGTTCTATATTTTACTTCTGCTCTCTGATGAAGCACAAGAGAAGCAGTTATATATCGGTGACATTTTCAAATATTCACTTTCTCAGGAACTGGTCCACGTTAAAGTGAAATTATGGATCAACAATTAATTACGAGACCAGACTCTACTTTGAGACCTTGTTGAAGCAAACAGAAATAGGACAAGAACAAGGCACCTCACTCAATACCCTAATTTATCTGCCATGGTACCAGAATGAGTGCAGTGCATCTGCAAGACAATTTGGAGGCTGCTGGGATTCTGGTACCCAGAAATGGACATGAGAAGATCAAAATGCAGGGCTAGTAATTCCGTGTACACAACTAAGTGCCAGACAGGATTCAGCACCATGAACAACACCATGTTCTCTTATGGCACTCACTCTGCTAAAACAAAATTTATTAACTAGTAGGTTCATGACCATCAGTGAAATCTGATCCGAGAAAATGTAACATCTTACTGAACTCTGACAAGCTTCATTTGTTGTAATTAGAGCAGGCAGAAAGGTAGCCCTGTCTAACAGATGACCTTTTATATAAATGCAAGATTTGTAATTTACTGTTTTATAGACAAAAGTATGATGGCCATGTGAGAAAACAGTTTTGTAGTGGGTCAACCTATGTAGCTTTTCCCTTTTAAATGAATGTTCATATTCTGTGCTTTCTGTCATCCATCCTAAATAATTTTAAAGCCAGCTGTATCTTTAAAAAAAAGCTTACAAAAATAAGTAGCTTAATTAGAATTTTATGTGAATAAAGGTAAATAGCTATAATCAGAGGTGGCTACCTGATGAGAAGAATCTTAAGTCTGCCAGAAGCACAGCTGAGGAGCCCACAACCCTTCTCTCCCCCATACACCCTCAAATAGCAACAGGAATAAAGATGAAAGCTACCATAAAGGGAACTAGCTAACTTGCAGAGTAGCGATGCTATAAAATTCATTTAAAAAAAGACATGCCTCCTTATTTTTGATGATACTTGTGCTTTAGATCACTAGTTTTTATTTGGGAGATGCTAGGGTGGGGAGAACGGGGAAGCTCTGTGGTTCCTGTGATAGGAAACAGGCTGCAAGAAATACAATTGAAGCAATCTTGTCCTCCGTCCTGTTTGTGAAATCGCTCTTAGCCAAGACCCTGAACCAAAGATTACTAATGAAATAGAATATATCCCATTTAAACCTATGGATTTTGGGTGGTGTCCTAAATGAATATTCTCTTTTGAGAATAGTGGAGGTAAGTAGAGTGATAATACTCTAGAACTTAAATTTCATTTAGCTTGCTGAAGCTTAAGTGAAATACATTTCACATTAATTAGTTACTCAAAAGCATATTTTAAGCAAACTTCGATTTAGTCTTTACCTACAAATTACTCCATTTCCACTTCATCTATTATTAATTTAAGATATGAGCTTTCATCAGTTAAAATAATCTAAAAGTATCCATAAGAGGATTGAACTGATTTAGCAACTCGAGAACATTTTTAGTTACTCAGTGCAATTAAAGCACGTGTGCAAACTCTTATAATAAAATTCTGTATTTCATCCTATCAGGCATCGGTGTGTTTGGAAAGAGAAAAAGAAAAAAATGTAGGCATTTTATCCCCAAAGGAAACAAATGTATGCCATCAATATTCCAACATTATCATACGCATCAGAAGTCCTTTATGGAGCACAGTCTTCAGTGTTCTCTGCAGTACCTTTTAAAAAGGCCACGACAGAAAAAATCTTGCTGGATAGCCATGCCTTTATTAATTTTGTTAATTATATTAATAGATTGTTTTAATGTAGAAATGATGCTAAACTTCTGAATTCCTTGTAGTCTGCCTCTTTTGACAGGTACAAGCCAGCCTTTCTCTTTGAAAACTCCTACTTCCCTAAAGTTAAGGAGCTTTCTTGTTACTTCTCTCTTTTAGGATGAGCACGTTTTCCCAGAAAAATGACTTGGCATTTTTAATAATAGCTTTCCCTCCCTACTATTGATCAGAGAGAAACAAGTTAGGCATCAGCCTGAGTTGAGACTGATGGATTTAGAATCGAGCAGTTTACTGTCCGAATGATTTAAAGTTGCCTTACTCGGCTCTACCGCATCATCGAGCAATACCTCTGCTACAAGCAGCAGGTTTGGGATCTAACGTTCAAAGTCCAACTGGCAGATAGCATGAATATCTGGTACCTTAGGTAGTATGGTAACCATTAAGAGGATTCGCCTACAGTTAACACCATCCATTCAGCGGTAATTGTGAAAACCGTAACAGGCTCTGGGAGCACAGGTCCGCCAACAGGAGAAGGCACCGCTCAAGCACTGCTGCTTTCCCGAGACGGTATCCAGACGCGCAACCCAACCCACTCCACTAGATGCTATTTACCTGTTTCTTCCGTGTGCACAACAGACCTTCTTCCCCTGTTTCTGCTCCCGTTCCATATTTCGTTTTGGAAGCTTTCAGCTGGGCCAGGGCCAGGCAGCCTGTTCTCCTAAGGGGGAGAAGCAGCAATCCGTGAGAGCAGCCCTGCGTTTGCTCATCCCCTGCAAGCCAAAACCCAGCCCTCCGGCTTACCTGCCCGGCGCCAGCTGCAGACGCTCGCAGGAAGGAAGAAACGGGGGTACCCGCTTTGTTTTCATCGGAGGACACGGGTGGCTGGTCTAGCAGAGACCTCGCGTGGACCCTGTAGATCAGCTTGCTGCGCAGAGCTTCTAGTTCTGTTTTCAGGGCGATAACATGGTAAAGAGACACTGCTGCAAGACAAGAGGACAGGAGCATTGCAAGCCACAGGAATGTGACAGAAAAAAGTCCCGCGGTGCCTGAAGCAGCACCAGGGGGGGCAGAGGGAGAGGAGGCGGTATCCTTCTGTTGGATGACGTGCACACAGTCCACGGATTTCATCGCTGCTCTTTCCTCACTAAAGCCAGAGGGAGAGTTCAGCTGTCCCCTTCCGAGGTGCAATCCATGTTACCAGTTGCTCTCTGAAACTAAGGGCATCCAGAATAAGTGAACAAAACGCCCAGATCATTTCCTGTCATATGAAGCCGTTGATAGAACCATTAAACCTAATGTACAGAGCGAACATCTAAGGTTCGGTCTCCGTTTAGTTTTCTTCTTTCTCTGCTGCATTTTGGAAATGAATACTTTCTCATGAGCTGCTTGCTTAAGCTACCTTCCTCCTTTCACTTTCAACTATTTATTTATGTGGCAGCTTGCTATTACCATTATCTTTAAATTTAGGCACAGCCGGTACCGCTGGTAATTTAGAGCCTTATCTAGAAATGCAGAAACAATGTAAAGTTTCCTGGTAGCATATCAGCCAATGCCACTTAAAAGACTATTCTGCCACCTCTAGCAACCACCCAATATCCTGCACAGACAAGTAATTCTTTTCCTAAATGCAGAGGAAAAACAATTATACCACATATCTTAACATGCCCCTAGAAAGCACGTACCTACTGTGAGAAATGATACAGAAATCAGTGCAGGGTGGAATAAGAGCAGAATACCATACCGTTTCTGCACCTATTTTCAAGGCTAAGTTAAGGTGGAAACGGGGCTGCATTTTGAAGGAAAGAAACCAAGGTAGGTTTTTTTTGAACAGAATAAGCAATTATTAGAACTAAGCAGACATGCCTTGAAGTATCACATCAGAACATTGCCAGCTTAGTACTGACTGTGTTCCAAAAATAAAATGACAGTTGGAAAAGAAGTGCTATTTAAGAAAGTGAAGCCAAGTGAGAGAATGAAAGTTATAACTAGCTGTCCAGGAATACTGAGAAACAATTGGCCGGTGAGGTCTCTGCAGTCATTAACATGTAATAAAATAACAGATGGGTATATAATTAGCATCACTCTAGTCACTTCTAGGGAAAATAGGCTGTTGCCAGCCTCCACACCCTCTTTAAATGAGGTCATTATTTGGGCTGATAAAATAACTGTGGTGACACAGAGGACTTCTGTAAGACATCTGGCTTTGTCTTGCTTATCATTCTGATAAATGAGAATTTCAAAGGGGCCATGAGGAAAATCAGAACAGCCCCCACACAGCAAATTGTTAAATTCAACAGGTATTTCTAGTTGAGTATCAAAGGGATCACTCTGTTTGCAACCTTGTGTTGCTGTACAGCGTCATAAGCAGTTAAGTGATTTGAAAGAAAACACAATTTTAGACAACTTTTGTGATGACAAAAACATAGTGGAACAATAAATAATGACAGTGAGAAATCAATCATGAAAAACAACATTAATTACCTAGAAATATACTTAGTTTAACAACTTCCATTTTAACACTATCAAATGAAGCTTCAGTAAATTGCAGACTACTAATTGCATTAAAGCAAAAACTCAGAAAAATTACTTTAAAAGAAACAAAACAAAAAACCCCCATGCCAGCTGCAGAGCCTGGAGCATGGAGTCAGTGCCTCGATGCTTGCCACTATGTCTTGTCATAAAATACTGTCGTTATGATTCCTCTTGTTGGCAGAACTGCAAAGTAATCTTTAACCTGCTTAAAGCAAAGTCAGTAAAATTAACACATGTGCAGTTTCTTCTGCATTTTAAACTAAGGTATGACTAATGAGGACTAAGGAGCGCTCAGATGAGCCTTCCATTAGCAGACGTGGGAGGGTGTTGACTCCAGCTGAACACGAGCTCTCAGTGGAACATTCTTCTTGAAACAGAAGTGTAATATTTGGATATATATACTGAAGCAAAATATTAAGCAAAAATAAGAGGTAGCAGTAATCGTGCTTTTACATCGACAAAACTGTTTACATACAGTTATAACTGCCAAAACCTAACAGTGAAAAGGGTTCAGAACAAAAATCCAGAATGAATAGAAGAGGCCTAAAGAACTCATCATGGAAAGGGCATTCAGTTTGTGGTTAGCAGCCTGCGCCTACTGGCCAGCCTCCCTGAAAACCCTTTTGCAAAAGTACGTACCATGTTAACTCTTTTTGGCTCAAGACACACACACTATGCCACACATGCACACAGTAAAACCTTAGGACAACAAGTGACCACCTCAAGCGCAGTTCAAATCACTGTTTTCCAGACTATTTCTAGAAAAGAAAATGCCACTGCATTAAACAGCAGAAACCTGGACCTGGCCATCTAACTCTCAACTAAATCAAGGCTGGTTAAACCTTCCAAGATGTTACACCAGAAACAAACCCTGTCATTTCTGCAGGCAATTAATTTTTTTCATTTCTGTTATGCAGAGTATCAGATTAAATGATTAAGATGCACCCTGCTAACATGTGAATTTATAAAACATCATCACCACATCTGCGGGGAACCAAGGCAGAGATAGTAAGCAATCACACAGGAAATTTGTGGTTGAACCAGAAACTGAACTCTTGATTTCCTGAAATCCAGTACTGTATTTTAACCACAAAAGCATCTTCTTTGAGAGGGAGGAAAATCCCATAATGAAGTTTAACGTACAAAAGAGAAGCAGATGATTCGAATATGAAGACTTGGGTAAAAACCCAATTTACTGAAGAAATGTAAAAGTTTACTTAAAAACAAAAGTTCCATTTTTAAAAGGGAGGTTGTGCAGATGCTACAACCCAGAGATCCAGGCAAATATCGATGGCCATACTAAAACTACGCCTCCAGTGGCAAAGGTCCAACTTCACATACTTCTGAAGTAGCCATAAAATGGAACTGGTCCCTGTGGTTATTACAAAAAGAAAGAGGCCACGATAGCTTGCCTTACTACACAAGACAGTGCAGAACAGATAGAGGAGCAAAGAATAAGCACAGGTTCCATTTTAAACACATTTAATTTCAGATCCTTTCTGAAGATGGACAAAAAGGATGGACTATTTTGGAGGAGATCAGAATAAATCCTGTATGACAGTTTTCTGCTATTACAGATACCTGTATTAAAGAGTATTCATAGATAGCCCTCTGAAAGAGTACACATTCCCTTCAGGGACACTTAATTAGTTCTTTCAGCCATTAACTGCAATTTACACAGTAGCAAAACCAGGTAAGTTCCCATCTCAGATATAGATCAAAAAATCACTCTGTTTGTGGATATTGTGCTCCTGTGGCTGTGTATCTTACATCCTATTATCTTAAATTTTAGGATTGCATACCTTGCAAGTAAAGGACGTTATACAAACAGTTAAAGACTTATTTGACATATTAGCTTGTTAAAAGGAAAAAAAAATCCTATGAGATTTTTCTGAAGCAAAAAAGGTATTCTTTTCTCTTTGCCTCCCAATTTCAATATTGCCTAGGATAACATGAGTGTCTCTGCACATTTTAGTTATGCTTGTTTTATTCCTTGCGTAAGACTTTATTTCTCCAGACATCTAGACAATTTGGGTCCAAATCTGGCATGTATACTACACAAACATACAGCTGGCTTGCACCCATCATTACTTTTTACATGGTTACTACAGTGCTTTCAAAGAGAAGAGGAAATGGCACAGGAAGGAAAAGCAATTATTATAGGTGTCTCTCAAAGTATGCAGCAGAAGCAACAAGAAATAGAAAATAATTTTTAAAACATATACAATATAAAAAGAAAACACAAGATTTATATACTACAGCAGCTTAATGCCAGTCTCCTCCCCTCCCTCCTCCCCCCCC